CACACACAAGCACAACCACACACCACGACACACACACACTACACAAAACACCACAACACACACACCACACAAACTACAACACAAAAACACACACAGACACACAAACACAACTAACAAAACACACCCAAAACACAACAAGAGAGCAACACAACACCATTCAATATCAATTTAACAAACAAAATCATAAGAGAGAGCGAGAGCTACAACCACACCACACCACACCACACGACAACCACGCACAATTCATCACACACAGCACACACACCAACACGACTCACACAGTTCAATATCACAACTATCACCACCCACACACACTAAGCACGACACCAATGGACTGATAGTTCTTAACCCTACACTTTTTTAATTTTCATATATTTTATTATTAATAAATATTTATAATAACACATAATACTTATTGAGCTCTAATGAAAAAATATATTGTGCATAAATAAGACATTGCATAGTATAGTTAAATTAATCTTTCATAATCTATTCGTATATCTAGTATAAAATATATTATTCCTATCTTAAATATATTATTTCTCGCGTATATATTAATATATAATATTATATATTATATGATTATTATATATATATATATTTATTATATATTTATATTATTAATATATAATATGTATATTATTATATATACCAGTACTTACTTATATATTATTCAGTCTTATAACTGTAATTATTTAAGATTTATATAGATTATACTCTGTATATAATTTATTTATAATTTTATATCATAATATTATAAATAATTTTATTATGATTATAATTTAGTAAGTATATATAAAATATTAAAGTAATAGATTAAGTATATTTATAATAAATATACTATATAGGATATGGATAGTATTAAATTATTCAGATTTATTATATATATAGTTTAATATAATAATATAATATGGTATTAGTATATATCATTATATTATACTATATTAGACTTATATAATATTTTATTATGATTTATAATTTTATTTATATTATATTATTATATTATTATATATTATATTGTATATATTAACTATAATTAATATATATATGTATTATTATATATATCAGTATATTATGATATATCTATATATAATATATTACATAATATTAGTATATATATTTACTACTACTATAATATATTAATATATATTATCATTATGATTAGTATATATTCATATTAATGTTTTGATTTATAGTAATATAAATTTATTCAAATTTTCTATCATCTAAGTGTAAGCTCCTCTAAGCTACGTTTAAAGCAGATATAGAACGAATTAGTATTTCATAGACCGTGAGGACAATAAACACAACTCTAGAGATACCTATGATGAAAGTAAATATTATCTCATATTGATTATATGTCCATATTTAACAATTACCGTTATATTAAAATTGGATTATACTATAATATCCATGGTCACTTCATCATACTCTACATTTGAGATTGAGGTAGTATTTGACTTATTTATGCATCATAATTTATTATATTATTATCTATAGCTTACTCTATTATTATATTATTATTCAAAAGTCATATTAACGATATATATTAATTAGTTGAGTCTATAAATTAATTTATATTATAATATCTACATTTATACTATTACATATATATATTATAGTATTGTAATTATAATTACTACATGATCCATGTGCGTATCTACTAATCATCAATTCGCCACTAATATAAATAAATATATAACTATACTCATTATATTATTATATATTAGTTAGTACTATATTACTTTAATAATTATATATTATAAATAGCTAATATATATTATTTATAATATATATACTATATTGAAGTATAATATAAATATATATTATATATATATGATTAGATGAATATTTTTTTATATATATTATATATATAATATATATAGTATATGTTGATACATATGAACTTATTTAATGAGTTTTATTACTGATTACAATATTATATACGATCAGTAATTACTCTACTATATATATCTATCTCTCCTATTACTATACTTCATCTTATCAATATCAATAATAATTACTCATACGTAGCTACTATTAATTAATATAGTAAAGGAATAACATCACAACTCAGCTAATATATTCATATCCTATTATAGTATGTTCAATAAAATACTAATTATTATTTAAGATATTATTCTGTTTGTTACTATAATATTGTATTATTAGATTGAGTTATCATATTATTCCACCACTTGATAATATATAAATATTGTCAAATAGGATATCTCTGACTGATTCAACATTCTTACATTCCTAGACTGAGACTTTAATAGGAAAAAAACATTTATCACTATTTATAATGAGTACTGATACCATTAATATATGTCAATAGAAATAAAAATTATAATCCTTTAATACTATAAATTATTTTTTATATATGTATTATTAGTGGTATATCTTACTATTAATTGAAACATCTTTTATATATAGTGCGTGAATTAATATAATTTGCACTATTATGTGGTGGATTTATATTATGCTGTATCACATCGTGAATATTTGTATTACAAGACGTGGATAAAGCGGGTACTACAAGCATCTTTACTCTTTGAGTTGCTTTTGAAAAATCCTGCATGCTGTCATTAGCTATTGAGATATATTACAATTATGTATAGTTATAGAGTACTAGTAGATATATTACTAGTAATTAAACTATATTGAGTATATATACTACTTATTATAGATATATTAATATTATATATTATATGGTTGCTGGTTGTATGGATGGATGGAGGAGAGAGTGAAGATGATACTATTCAGTATATATACATTAGGTATACTATATTATAATAACTGTGTAGTATTATGTCTCAATAATATATTAGTAGTATTAATGGTATGTTAGTCTATGGACATATATACTCGTTATATATATAGTGATAATTATATATGGAATATTAGTGTGTATTATATGTGATGTGGTGTAATATTAGTATTATATGTTTGCGGGTGAGTGATAATGATATGGTGGTGATATAATATATGTGTGGTCGCTATTATAATATTATGGTATGTGTGTTATTTTGAGATATGGTCGTGTGGATGTATATATGGAGTGTATATAATGTATTGTATTTACTGTAGCGCTGGATTCGGAGAGAGATCTAGGTATTGAGAATCGGTTACTGATCTGCGAGTCTGACCGGCTTTACAAATGTCCCGGAAGAGTATTGAGAGATGAGATGGGTCGAGAGATGAGATAAGTTAGAGATACATCAGAAAGAGTTGGTCCGACAAGGACAGGAATCTTATACTATCACGCAAGATTGTCAACTTCTATACTTGACTGAATGATAAATGTTATCCTGTTATAAATCATCTTATCTGTACCTCGTTTACTTTTCTCTGGGCCTCTCCGTTATCGTATTTCTGTTTAGATTATATGAGTATAACTGGCAGATGTAGTTTACTTTCTTTACTTATTCTATTAACCTTAATTATGCAGACCTCGAATGGCTATAGAGTCAGAAGAAATGTACCAGTTAGTAACATACGTAGCTGGAGTATACGTATTCCGATGAGCAGAGTGTGATCTGTACTATTAGAAATGATGAAGAAATGAGAGGAGAGAATGAGAAGACAGGGCTGCCTCGACTCCTCATATGATAGAAGGAATGTATCTCACACGAGTATAGATAAGTTAAAATATAAGCTGACGATGCGGAGAGACGAAGGTAATTACGGGAAGAGAGAGATCGAGAGATGAGGACGCGAGCAGAGATCTGAGGAGGCAGATGAGACGAGATAAGTGAGAGAGATATGATGAGATATGACTAGTGATGTATGAGCGTAGAAGTGATTGACAGGAGATGGTGTAGATTGAAGAGAATCGACAGAGTATGAGACTATGCCGTAAACGAGAGAGACTCGATGCGACGGAGCTGGATGTATCAACCTAGCTGTCAATACGAGCTAGAGCGATATGTACTTGGGATGGAGCCACTCGAAAGAGTAGCATAACTACAACTATTCATGGAATGTAGACAGTTGAATGATATGTAATTAGGGATGATTAAATATATTTATATCTTACTGATGGACAGGACTATGCGAATATGTCGTATTACAAGGGTATCATCTATATACAATCCCAATAAACTCAAAAACCCGATAAACGATAAATACGTAAATAACTTATATGATTATTATTTACAGAATATGTTGTATGCTATATGATTGAATGACATCGGTAAATGTGGGTGATAAGATTTATACGATCGATACTCCGATCGATGTTGTGTGTGTGTGTGTGTAGTGTGGTAGTAGTGAATGGTGGATTGGTGGTGTTGGAGAGTGAGCGAGAGGTGAGAGAGTATAGCCAGTGGAGCTTGCTTGTTAGAGAGAGGCATCCCGGTTGGAGATGAGTCATACTCGACGAGAATGAATAACGTATGGGTCCGTAGGAGCTGCAGACATTGGATTGGAGTGGTATGTACAGTGGAGGTGAGGTGGTCAAGGCATAGTAGCTGATTGAAGATAATGTTGAATGACCTGTTAGATATGTCTGATGGGAGGTAGAACAATGTTGAGTGGAGAGTGGATGATGTGTGTAGTGTGTGTGTAGTGTGTGTATGTGTGTGTATGTGTGTGTATGTGTTACTGTATGTGTGGTATGTGTGTGTATGTGTGTATGTGTGTATGTGTGTATGTGTGTATGTGTGTATGTGTGTGTGCGTGCGTGTGTGGCTGCGTGTGTGCGTGCGTGCACGTATTCATTTTTTTGTTAATAGATTTGCCAGGCCGCTTGAACAAATCATTCACAATCAGAAAAAAAACATAAATAATGTAATATCTAAAATCAACTTCAATCATTTACAGAGTGGTGATCATTTTGCACACTCAATAATTTCTTAATCCATTACATTGTACACAAGTGTTATTGCTGTTCTTTGCCTTGACTCAGGTGCACAACAACAGCACAAGGTGTACACACACACAGTACCAGCAGTTGAACAACCAGTAAAATATGAAATGAACCTAAAAGAAAGATCTGACAGGTTTCGAAACAATATTTATTTGAACACTGTCTAAATCTTTCCCTAATACAGTCTTGTATTCTAGCTGTAGAATATGCCACTTCATTTTACTGTCATGGCAAAGTGATTTTATTTACAACTAGTATACATCCTATGCTGTGTAGTACTGATACCAACAAGAAAAACACCTAGGATAACCTGTTACAATCTGCTAATAATACTAGCATAACAAACAAAATCAACCGGCTATTGGCTTCTGATATTAACAAGAAGTCTCTGGCATGAAAATGTGATGTATGCCGATATGACTAGCAGGACATCTATTTTAAAGAGCTTATGCTTCAACTACCTGCAGCATTGTACCTAGGGTAAGAGGTCTTGTTGGGCTACATTATGCTTCCAAAACATCATAGCTTATATGCAAGTAATCAAATTACCATATACCAATAAGATTCACTTTCCCACAGAGAAAAGGATGAAAAAAAGACACAGTTACATGGATAGATTATAACACATGACAATGCAATGATACAGGATGATGTAAGAAATGACTTTTCACTCTATGAGAGACAAAGGGTATATGAAGTTTACACACACACACACACACACACACAAATTGATTCATTCATACACAGTGTGCTATATGTACTTATGAATAAAAAAGGAAAATAATAAAAGAAATTATATATATAAAGAAAAACATACTGTTCCATGGAAATGAACTACATCCAAAATGATTCAGATATATCTTATGCCTGGACGGGCAAGTTTTGATTAACGACCAGGATTATATTTGATGTTTTCACCTATCACAGCGATAAAATAAGTGCATGCATTTATTTCCAAATAGAAATTTAGACAAATTGCTTAACAACTATTCTTGTTCTTTTTTTTTTTAAATACAAAAAATTTATCTCATGGCCCTAATACAAAAAAAGGACTTGTATAAAGCTGCAGATCAATATAATGAAAATTACACTAATTTGCAGCATTAGTAAAGCAAAAGTAATAAACAGGATGATTACTCATAGATTTAAAAAGCTTCAATACAAACTACTGTACATTAATAAATAAAACAGAGTAATCCTACATAGGTCCAGACTCATGGCACACTAATTTTTGCATGGAAGGGACACCGGTCAAGGATAGATTCATAAGAACTATAATCCTTCACTTTTGTATATATATCAGTTTCAAACTTTTCAAAATACAAAACATGCTCAGTTAATTGGTGCACTCCAGGAAGAGGATGCTCTTCATTATCCTCAAGCAGTATCAATATCGACTGCTTTCTTACCTTCACCATGCACTTCCTTCACTTTATTACACAACTGTGAGAGTTGGTGACATACATGCATACATCATCCTTGCACACTTGTGCACAGGCACGTACACACACACACACACACACACCCACACACATGCACATGCACATGCACACGCACACAGATATATCTCCCTTGACTGAGATGTCTGATTGTTTCTATATTTGCAATTACTCATTCTTATTCTGATATGACTCACATCATGTAACTTATTCTTGGCCTCATGACTAAGCAAACAGTCTTGATATAAAAATTGGATTTTTCTTGTCACTGTGATTAGTCAGTCATCTTTACACATACTTTGTGACACTGTGAAACTTGTGGTGACCTTGTCCCCATTACTGTCAAACTGCAACACTGCAGCCACAGACAGCAAGGACCACATGCACATAACATCAATGATTCCTGATGGTGCTTTTAGTCTGTTCCACACCACTCCCTGATTCATCCTGGTTTCACCTTCACCAGGGTTTGAGCTACAAAATGGAGACATCCTTAGGCCAGAGACCCAAGAAACATTATGAAGGCTGGCAGCATGTAGATGGTGATGGCACGGGAGAGAGACATGGTTTCTTTGGCAGCAGCAGAGGGTGGCTGTTCAGGCACACCTGAAGGAATGTTATGGTTTGGAGGTGGGTGGGGTTTAACTGGCTTATAGGGATCATATGGAGAAGGCCTGTTTCCAACATTGGTCACATGCGTCCTCTTGGAACCTGATCCTTCCCTGTTATAATCTTCATAATCAAAACCACCACCTGAGCCAGGATAGGCATCTTCATCATCAGGGGGATAATGACCTGAAGAGTGCCAGCCACTGCCACTCCCTTCTTCTTCAGAGTCGCTATCATCATCTTGTTTGTTACCACTGCCTAACCAGGACTCTGTAAATGGATTTTTTTCCTCTTTTAGATAAGTTGTAGAACAAAAAAGTAAACTTCTAATAAAGTAACCTATTGCAAACACATCAATTTTTTATTTAAATATTATTCAAACTTCACAGAATAAACTTTCCATTCAATAATACTTAATATTATCATATTGGCTAGCTACAACCCACAATGCCCTACAACATTTCTTTATATGACTTAGTTATAGAATCTATACATTATTCATACCATCATCAATCCAAGACACATTACGACCATGGTAAGCCTCCTTCAACTTGCTTGTTATCACCTTCAGTCGCATAATTTGCTCATCCATGTCTGAGCTATGGTATGGCTCTGTGACATTCATGTTCTTCATTTCGTACCTTAAACAGAAGATAGTCTTGTTTAATATCAAATCAATAAATATTATTATGTCACTAAGAACTCTCACAACAGCAAACTAAGTTGACTTCCTCAGTACTTACTTGCCAAGTTTAGTGCCAGTCCAGCAGCTGGCAGCACTCTGGTGGACAGCATCCTTGCACATCTTGGTCGGCAATTCACCCCAGAAGTCTCGTGCATTCTTGATCTAATGAAGCAAAAGGAATTCTCACATTTCTGTAGTAACTCCAGGTGATATTGAGTCTGGATGTCTTGAACTTTATTATATCTTATTACATAGTTCTTGTATATGTCAGTATCTTCACTTTTCAGTAAAGTAACAACAAAAGAATAAGAAAGAGAAAAAAAGGAAAAAATACATAAAGTAAGGAAAAATATAAAACAAAGATGTGGCATACAAACAAATAAAAACAAAAAAAGGGACAGACAAAGTCTCATTCATCCTAAATGAAGCACCTGTTATTGAGAAAATTAAGGATGTCCATAAAGATGAAAAGAATAGTAATACAAACCTTGGTCTTGATCTCATGAACATGCCTGCTAATAGAGAAGTTTTCACTTTCTCTCTTTTCTTCGCGTTTGCCTCCACTAAAGTCTAAAAATTCCTGAGATAATTCTCCACGTCCCACAGCTGCTCTCTTGCGTCGTCCAAGTCGTGGTGATCCGCAGCCTTGAAACACCTGCAGAGAGAGTCTGATTTATAGAAGTACATCTTTTGGAACAAAAATTTTTCAAAGAAAAGAAAAAAATTAATAATGCTCTAGAAAGTAAATTTTCTATATCTTTCTGACTAAATGCCTGTAAATGGAAAATGTGGCAATTTTGAATTACATTCAGTTTTGATGCCTTTTGATATCAATGTTCTCTCATATACAAAGTATTCCCAGATTTTTAAGGAAAGGAGGATCAATTTGACAAAAACATTTTTTTTGTGTGTGTGTGAATAATGAGGATTATGGCTTTTTAACTATCAGAAAACGAGTGGACAGGATGTATTTATCAATAATTTCTTAAATTTTGCATATTTTTTCTCTTAAAAGTGAGAAAAACTATTTCAGTGAAATATCTTGAAAAGACAGTACATAAGTACAGAAACATAAAAATCTCTTTTCATGATTTTATAAAGCTATGCTATTAGAATAAGAACAAAACTAGAACAGACATGTCAAGACCACTGCTTCTCTGAGTAAAATGAGACTAGTTGCTCATAATAATACATAACCTTTGATACTTGTAACAGCTAGGAATAAATGGTTGAATAACAGAAATCAATACCCCTAAAAAATTGAAAATCAAAAGAAAACTTACGGAGTTTGCCAATAAAGAAAACAAATATAAATATTCTAACCTTATTGGATATATCATGGCCAGCCTCCTGGAAGTTCATAATGGCATCTGACACCTTGAAGTTGACAGGTTCTACAACATTTTCAATATTAAATGGGTTTTCTAGTCTCTCACCAACATCAACCATTGCATCTGAAATCAAATTTATACATAAATCTGAGAGATTGTTTAACGTCAATAAAGGACCAAAAAGTTTAAAAGGACTCCATGCAAAATGTATACATAAGCTGCCACAGAAAAAAATACTGAATGTCACAAGGCACTAACCAACATAAGCAATCCAGTAGGTAATAAGTGGCTGGTGGTGGGCTAGACAAAGGTTGATCACTTCCCTGCAGTATGGCAGGCAAGGGCGCACTCCCTGGTGACCATCACAGGTTGAACAATGAGTCATCCTCATGAGTTCATGGACACAGCTCACACTTGGGTTGACCTGAGTATCATGGAATAAATAAATGATAACAATAGGTAAATACATAAATCTTGTGATGCTATATAACAAGTGCATTTAATTTTACATATCATATTGGACCTTATGCTCATTTCAGAAAGTATTATGCTACTACTCATCAAAACCAAGAGACCTAAACTTTCACGACATAAATTCACCTTGAGGACATTTCGCACTACATCTCTCCCTGTGGCAAGGCCCTGAACAAAAGTTCGAAGCGCAACAAAGCTTCTTTTAATTTGTGTAGTAAGCTTCTGGGGGACATCACCAAACGGCTGAAGTTCTTCCATATGACGTGTTACACATCGTAAATACCTGTGAAATTATAAACTCATTCAAGTTGACAATGTAATGAGTCTGCAGAACCAGAGGGTAAAATGAGTTTGAAGTTAACTTAAATAGGAAATGTAAACACAAAATCTGCTGTGAACCAGCACAAGTAGACAAAAAGGGCTGCAGCTGTTGTGCATTATATAAAATTGGCAAAATAACAGACCACTGTCAGAGTTCTAAATATCCAATAACCTAAATGCATACCCTAGACATTGGACTTGTGTACTTTTATTGCATATGCTATACCATTTACTGTTTTGGATAAAGTACAGTAGTCAATCACCTACCATT